GGCTTGTGTGTTGATGTCTGAGTAGGAGAAGCCAGATGCTTTGGTGTACTAACCAACTGAAGTATGATTCAGTTGGAGTTCATCTGTGACCCTGACTGATTATCTTCCCTCTGTTCACCTCAGATGCCTGTTTGCTTCACATCATGATATGCTGAGAATTAATAACACAAGCCTCAGCTTACTCATCTGCAAAATGGGGATAATTCTTAATGTGAACTTTTGTCTAAACAAAGAAGGCACAATTTATAAAGCCTCATGGGGTGTCTATATTTTATTTAGAAGTGGAGTCTCACTGAGTTGCTGAGGCTGGATTTGAACTCACAATCCTCCTGCCTCAGCCTCCCAAGCTGCAAGGCTTGCAGGTGTGCGCCACCACACTGGGCTATAGAAAAGAAATTTTTTATATAGATAAAAGGAAATGTGTAGAGTAGAAAGAATCTGGGCTTGCCAGGGGTATCACAGATGCTCAAGGTCCCTGTCTGACCAGCAGGTAGAATTCCCTGGTGCTCCGTGCCACTCTGAAGCTTGTGGGGGCGGGGGCTAGTCTTCTAACACTTTCAGCAAATAGGTCCTGATAAACAGCCAGGTTGTATTTCAGCTTTCTGGCAGAGGATGCCGAGAATACTTCTCCTCCCACCTGCTGTCCCTGGACCCAATATGACAATGTGTGGCCTAGGTCCACATCCTTCCGAGCGGGGATCCGAGGGCTGCTCTCCCCACCACCTCCACTTCTTTATTCTCATCTCCGTGGTGAGAACATAGGACAGAAATATCCTGAATTAAGCCTGGACTCGATATTAAGTTGTAGGTAGTCCAGTCTGTGGCATCCTAAGAACCAAAATGACCATCAGCACAGATGGAGGCAAGGTCGTTTGAGAGCCACTCTGCCAGGTGCCTTGACTCCTCACTTCTTGCAGCAGACCCCAAAGGACAAGTAGCACCATTTGCGTTCTCTAGTAGGGAAAGGAAGCTTGGATCATGGAAGTGGCTAGTGAGTGGCAAGGCTTGGACTTGAACCCTCAAGTGCCCGCCATGAAACCTGTGCTCCTTCCCTGATAGAGCCCTGGAAAGCCTTCCACCCACACACCCTATACTGGGGGCTGAACCCGGGGCACCTTACCACTGGGACATCCCCAGCTCTTATTTGAGACATGGTTTCACTAAGTTGGCAAACCTGCCATCCTCCTGCCTCAACCTCTTGAGTCTCTGGGATTATAGGCTTCCAGAGATTTTTAAATCCTGTGGTTACCAGACTTAACACATTTCATAAGGCAGCATGATTTAGAACCAGGATGGGGAAAGGGAATCAGTTTTTTGAATCACTTCTACTTACCTTTCATCTTCATCTGTTCAAAGAAATGGCACTTCAACATCAACAAAGCAGGAAGGCCATATTCTGAGGAGGGAATGATCCTTGATTCACCAGGATGCACTGTGCCTGCAGGTTGAGCAATAGGGGCAGGAGAAGGACATGAGCCCCTTCTGTCCTCATCTTCGTGTCACCGCTTGCCTGAGTTCCTCCCAGCTTCTGTGCTCCAAGCTGTTAATGGCCTTAATGAAAGCCTTTTGGCCCCCAGACTCCTTAGGCAAACCAGACAGCTGCTTAGCTGGCAGAGAACTTGCTGGAAAACTTCTCACTGTCTGGTTGGCAGCACATCCCCCCTTGTGCCCTGGGCACCAGACCTGTACAGAGGCACCTAAGCCAAGCCTTCCAAGAGCCCTTTTCTAAGTAATTCTATTTATAAATGCAGGGATTAAATGGGTTTTAAACTCCACTCACGCTCTTGTCTCTCTAGGAAGGGATTTTCTGTAAGAGTCACACATTAAAAGCAGAGGCTTTGGAGTGAGACCAACCCGAGTTGAAACCCTGTCTCTACCACCTTTATTAACTGCAGCCTTTCTCTGAGCTTCAGTTTCTTCAGCTCTTTTAAGACTGGGGTGACAACAGCTCCCGCCTCATAGGGTTGCTGGGGTGAAATGAGGAGGAGAAGTAACCTCTTGGTCCCTTTTGGGACACAGTGATCAGAAAGCAGTGTAGGAGGGTTTAGGTTTGCCTTGCTAAGTTGTTACCTATAAAGTACTCGGAATTTGCAGGCGCATATTAAATGCTCAATAAATGTTTGTTGCATGGTAGTTTTAGATAAATAAGAAGGCAGGATGTGTTGGGACCTTAGTCAAAAGGCTGAAATAAGAAGGATGAGGATCTGCCCACAAACCTTCCAGATTACCTTCTGCGCTAAGAGATCTCAGCTGCAAACTGTTAGAGCCGGTGACTGCTGCTCAAAGCACATGGCTAGGCTGGTCCTGGTGGGAAGGCTTTGGGCCACAGAGCTGCAGAAGTTCTGATTAAGTGCTGGGCCTACTACTCGACCGCTCTGGGATGTGGGCCGTGTTGTTCCATATTTTTGGGCCTGTTCCTTTGGTCAGACTGGCCAAATTCATCTCACAGTAATCGCAAAGTAAAGTATAGATGTCACTCACAGACTTGTCACATCACCATTTTGCACTGTGCTTAGCAGGTGGGCTTCGTGTACCTGGAGGGGGCTCTAGGTCAGCAGGAGCTCCACTGGGTGGGACAAACCAAGCTCTGGTTGAGGCTGGCAGCCTGTCAGGCTGTGTCTGGGGCAGCTAAGGAGGTAAGATGTGGCATCTTCCAGGATGAAGGGTGACCTGTGAGTGGTGCCAGAGGTGCCCAGGAGGGCCACTGCTTTAACCCAGCATCATGTGACTCACACCTTCCCTCAGGCTATGGAAAGGGCCATCCCACCTTCCATGCCCCACACTCCCTGGGAAAGGTGTGTCCTCTTTGATGGGACACACAAGCGAAAGCCAAAGTCCTTTCCACAGGGGAGAGGCAGACCCAGACCTAGGCTGTCCAGGGGGCCTCCTGACAGGAGGGCAGAGCCTTGGGAAGTGTCAACCTGGCTTCCCAGCTAGGGACCTGTGATCACAGCCGCATTACCAGCTGCCACATCAGGCACTCTTGCGGGGTGCTGTGTGGTGGGCCCAGCCATGTGCAGCCACTCTGTCCCACTGGCTTGTTGTGTAAAGCGGCCTCCGAGGCTGGGGAGAAAGTCTCAGTGTAGTTCTTGCCAGGTTTTCCTGCTGTCAGCTGGTGCTGGGGGTGGGGTCTGTTTAGTCATAGTGCATTAGTCTCTGTTCTCTTGCTAATGACCCATTACTACAGACTGGGTAAGTTCTAAAGAAAAGAGATTTATTTGGGCTCATGGTTCTGGTCTCAAATCAAAGGCCCACATCTGGTGATGGCCCTTCTTGCTGACAGTTTCAGGCAGCACAGGGCATCCTGTGTCAAGGGAGGGAACAGGCCTATCCCTCTTACAAAGCCACCAGGATCCAATCATGGGGGTTCCACCCTAATGGCCTTATCTAAAGTTAATCACATCTCAGGGCCACACCCACTAAACCCCATAGTCGATTGCTGATTATGTTTTCACTCCCTCATTACCTCACAGTGGGGTCTCCAGCATGAGCTAGGGACACGCCATATTCATACTTCCTGCCATACTTAGTAACTTACTGTTTTCCACTTAACCCAGAAGTAGGCTCTGGCATAATCAAAACGCCATACAACTATCTCATTTCCTCTGCAATATATCAAGTTGATGGATCATTTGCTTAATCATCCCTTATTTTTGGACTTTTTTTGAGTTATTGCCTCATAAGTTACAGCAGCAAATCTCTCTCCACCAAGTCCTCTCCTTATTTAGTGTTATCTGAAGCTGGATTTCCAGGAGCAGAACTGGAGGGTATGGGGCTAAGCACGTCTCAAGCTTTGAAAGTATGTGTGGCCACGAGCCTTCCAGAAGGCTCTCCCATGTTGGCTAGTGGGTGGGGCATGGTGGAGGTGTCCCTGCTTGGTGCCCACACCGAGCCTGCAGCACTGTGGATGACTGAACAAACCATGGCCTGTTGAAGTCTATCACATTGAGATTCCCTGGCTGAGGACAGTTGGCTGGGAAGGGGTGGCTTATCAAATTTCAGAACCTGCGGTGGGGAGGGTACTGTACAGTTAATACTACACTCAGCTCAAAAAAAGCGCCCCCAGTTTTCAAAGGAAGAGACCAAGGCTGATAGGTAGTAAATTATTCAGTATTATCCTATGCCCACTCTCTCTCTGAGGGCAAGAAGGCCACCTCTGAGGTGGCAGGCCATGTCATCAGATTGCACAGGCAGACAGGTTAAGGTAGAGATGGCGCGGGGCTGGGAGGGCAGGCCTCAGTCCACAGAGCCTCTGGGGGATCACAAGCACGCAGGAAAGAAGGCACTTGGAAGAACCTGGATGACTACGGGTGCAGGGAGGGCGTTGCTGCCCTGGGGCCCACACTGTCTAGGACAAGGCCATACTTGATCACGTGGCTTGGTCTGGGGCAGGCCCAAAACTCATCTCTTTGTAGGCCTTTTCTGTTCTAGGTTCCTCTAGATTTAAGTCCCTGAAGGGTAGGCTTCTTGTCTTACTCCTGAGGCCTGGCCAAGGTGGTTTCCAGATAACACCAATACTAACAGTTTTACCTCTAAAATAAGTTTTACAAGTTTTACCTCTAAAATAAGGTAGCTCAAGCTTGAGGGGGTGCTGTGATGCCCACGCCCACAGTTAGCCCTGGAGGGGAGGAAGGGCTGAGCAGAACCAGGGCTGGTGAGGCCTGTGGGGTGTCTCCTAACAGCACAAGGAAGCTAGGGTGGGAACAAGGCCTTGGGACCCATGATCAGATCTGTAGCTGCCCCAGCATGCCTGGGTCCCTGCTTCCAGGATCAGTCAGTTTTTTTTCTAACCTAAAAAACTGGGGCTCCTCAGTTTTCTTTCCTGAAAAATAAGAATGTGTGTCCATGGCAGGGTGGTTTTAGCGACACTGGAGTTACTCCATAGAAAGTATGTAGAAATCGGGCCTCATCACATCATTAAGCTTAGTGTAGTCGGTCGGGTTGGATGCTGGTGCTGAGCCTGGTGATCCCATGCCCACTCCCTGCCTTCTGTCTTCCAGGTCGATCCTTTGGGACCCATAGTCTCATCGTGTCTCCGACAGGACGGCAGAGGGTACAGGTGATGGCTTGGCTGGTTGGCGATCTCCCTACAGCGACAGCTGGATCTCCGGCAATGTGAAGCTTTTGTTTGGGTTTCCCCCTCCTTTTAGTTTTTATTTCCCCCCTCCCCCCTTTTTTAATTTAAACCATCAAGACTTTGGAAGAGCAGAGAGCTATGCTGTGGACAGGCACTATTTCTTTAAAGAAATTCAGTGTGGACAAGGCATATGTATAAATTTCACTGTTCGTTTTTATAAGGGTTTAGGGAACGATTTTGGTTTTGTCCTTCATTTTACCTCTGTCTCTCTCTTTTACACATCTCCCAGTTCTGCTCATACAGCATCTCACTTCTTGGAGAAGACCCTTCTCCCCGGAGAGCATTTTGGGTTTCTCCTGGAATGGGACGTGAAGACTCAAGGAGGCCGTGGGCCACCTCCCTACCAGATGCAGAAACTGCCGGATTCCTTGGTGGGCTGGTCCTGGCCCTTGGCCCTCGATGGGACAGAGGCGAAGAACCACCTGGAAAAGGGCAACTAGGGCGTGGCCAGGAGGACTCCAGAAAGGAGGCCTAAACTCTGGGTTTGGTTCTCTTTAAGCTCTTGGGAGCCCCAGGCCACACCAGGACTCTCAGTGCTGGAAATCTGTTCCCTCTTGTGTCCTTTACAACTGGGAGTCCCCAGGGAGGAGGTAGCATGTGACCATCCCCATTTGCTGCAGATGACTGGCCACCCGACCCCAGCCCCACAAGCCCACCTCTCTGTTAGGAAACTGTTGTGCCAAACCTCTGCCCAGGACACACTGGGTCTTCCATGGGCACCTGTCACTGCTGAGGTCACCCCTCCCTGCTGCCTCCTGATCGTCGTCTTCCCAGGTGTGCTGCAAGTTTCTAGGCCATCACAGAGACTGCCGGAGGCCACCAGCCAGTCGTGACCATTGCCATGATAACAGGGCACCCTGAACTGGCCACCACCTTCGTGCGGTGAAGGGTATGCCCTGTGTGCCGGGGTCCACGGTGTCACACCAGGACACATGTCAAGAACCATCTCCCTCTCCCCCAGGGACTTTGCTAGTGCCCGCCCTCAACACAAGTGCATCCGATGGGAAGAGAATGGAGCTGCCCTGGGCAGGAAGGTGTCTGGCAGAACAGGGGAGAACCCGTGCCTGCCAGGTGCCGGTGTGGGGGCTTGTTACCCTAAAGCACCCCTGGCTGTGACCCCTCGACGCTGCCATCACTGTCTGGGTGGCCCTCTGCTCCTGGCAGTGCTCTTGCAGCCTCCCTCTTGGGCTGCTTCTCCAACCTGGCCCTTCTCCCTGGGCGGCCCTCTGTCTGGCCCTCACATCCATAGCAGCCAGATGGGATTGGGCCTCTGGAAAGAGGAAGGAGTCATTTGTCGGGTGTTTTGTTTTTGTACCTAAACCAGCAGAGGAGTGATGGGGAGGCACCTGGAGGGCGTTGTAGTTGGTGTGAGACCAAGGGGGACTTCCCCCAAAGCAGCAGTCCTCTGGCCCTGGGGGTGTGGGAGACCAGCACAGCATGGAGCCCCTCAGCACCAGAGTTCTTCCTCCCCTTGGCCGGTGGTTGGCTGCTGCCAGCAGGATCCCACAGGCGCAGGGCCCATGGTGGTCACCTGTCTCCTCTCCTGACTTCTCAGGCAGCCTCCTGGGCACACTCTGCACTGCAGCTGGAGGGTCAGGGCATCAGGGTTCCTTAATTGAGTGCATGTCCCTTCTCTGCCCCCCCCAGCCAGTCTTCCCTGGGGGTCAGCTCTGCCTACATGAGCAAATGGGAAAAGCAAGTCTCCAACCCGGCACCCTGGCTGTGGTCATTCTGAAACCCCCCACGCGGGCTTGAGCCTGGGATGCCTACTTTTTGCCCGCCATTCTCTCCTGCTTCTCCCAGTCTCAGCTCTGTGTTCTTAGGGCCATAGCGCGTCCTCTTGGTGTCATAGTCTTCCCCTGTAGGCCTCAGGGAGGCAGCTCGGCAGGGGGATCTGCTTCCTCACCTTTCCTCCGGGACTCCCAGCCAGCGCCAGCTTGGTGGTAGGACCTCCCTCCTCAGCTCCAACTAGGGCCAGCTCTTTATCCCCAAGTGCCTGTCCCTCCCGCCCCACCTCCCTTCCCCTACTGCTCCATTTTGTCCACCACGGGTACACGGCCAGGTGGTGGGCAGCCTTGGGTCAGCCCCGGGGCCCATGCAGTCTCTCAGGGCCACTCCCTGCCACCCCCTCAGGGATTGGCCCCCTCTTCTATCTCCCCTCTTCCTCCTCCTCCCCAGGCCTCTGTGGGGCCTCATCTCAGCACCTCCAGGTTTTTTAGGCCTGTCCCAGTTCTAGGAGTTTCCACACCTAAGGCAGCACTCAGTCATCCTCTTCTCCTTGGGTCTGTGGAAAGGGTGGCTTGTTGGAGACATCTTGGCCCTGTCCCTCGTGGGTCTGAGCTCGGATTTCCCTTAGTGTGAGGCAGCCAGGACAGATCACAGTGCCTTAATCTCTTGCCTCCCCCACCAGCCCAGTGAACGTATGGCTTCCCTCCCCGTCTGTCCATCTGTCACTTGCACTCACATTCCCTCCTACCCACAGACAGCCCTGGGGGAAGGAGACCCTCTGCACTCCCACGCCCCCTTCCCAGGGCTGCAGCCAGGCACAGGTCTCCCCACCCACCTCCAGGCCACTCCCGAGCAGCTTTAGCCCAGGACTGAAAACTGCTGCAGACAGGTGCACCTTCAGCCTCCACCTCCCCAGCAGGCGTCCTGCCCCTTACCTCTAGCCAGGAGGACACGGCAGTCTGCTCTTCCAGGCTGATTCCACCTGACCCCTTTCTGGACACCGGGACTAAGGTTGCCAGCCTTAGCCTCATCTCATCCCAGGGGCATTGGGACAGGTAATGGGAACTCCTTCCTCCCACCCTGATGGGCTCTGCCCGCCTGGCTGCCTTTCCGAGGGAGTGTATCAAATGTTTACCTAAGAAATACCCTGTTTACAGCTGGAGGAGAAATGTGCCCACAGTGGGTGGAGATTTAACTCTCTGGAAAAGGCCTGGCCTCCTTTGTGGCACTGCCAGTGGTGGCCCCAGAGCGGATGCAAGCAGAGATGCCTGGGTGGGGGGAAGGCCCCTCACTGCCCCTGCTCCCCACCTGTGGTGCTAAGACCACTCCCGCTCCCCCATGGCCTCGCTCCAAACATTCCCGCCTCCCTGCTCTTTCCTCCGAGAGCCTGGGCTCCTTACATATCACTTGTCTCCTACCCTAGAAAACCAGTGTTTGGAGCAATAAGATGATTATTTTTGCTTGAATCTTTTTCTAAGAAAAGGAAAAGAGCTGGCATTGTGGGAATCTAGATGCTGTTGGCTGTTTACCTCTTTAGAAGACAAAAGGACGGTGTCTGGACTTTAGCCTTGGGGTATCTTTGGACGCTTGGAAGAGCAGGAGTCAGGCTGCCATCCCCAAAGGAGGGGACCCTAACTCTGCCCTTGCCTTGCCATAAGGCCCCTTCCAGCTCTGCCCACCAAGTGTGCCTCCCACCATTCACCCTGCCCTTGTGCTCCCCCACCACCACCACCACACACATCTGGAGGCACTGGCGGTTCTACTCTGGATGGGTCTCCCTCCCCTTGATTAGTTCTCCCTCAGGCCTGTCTGGCACACAAGATAGCTGCTGGCAGGCAGCCTCAGAACAGCCAAGCTTCTTTATCAGCTCTCCAGACCGACGGGGTTTGGAGGCCGAAGCCAGGGATACTGCCTCTTCCTCCCTCCCACACTGAGCTGGAGCACAGTGTGGTCCTGCCCTGGCCCTGAGGGCAGGGGGCTCCTGTCCTAGACATGCTCTTGAAGGGAGACCAGTCCCAGTGCACGGTAGTACTGGCCACTGTTAGCATTCACCACCGTCACCAAGAGAAATCCACTGCCATTGGCTGCCCAGGGAACCCTAGGATTGCAGAGGCTATCAAAGGGAGCCCCCCACCCTAGACACTTTCTAGGAGAGACCATGGGAGGAAGGGAGCTTATTTGGGGATGCTTTAAGTCGTCTTGTGCCCTAGCTTTAAAGAAGTCTTGTACCCCAGGGGCTTCTTCCCATCAGCAGGGCAGGCAGGATGTACAATAAGTTTTTCAAATTTGGGACAGTGTTGGGCGTGAGGGAGGTTTAAAGCCAGGCACAAAGTTAGTTTTAAATACTAGTTAATAAATCTATTTTTCTTTATTTTCTTTTTTTGCACAGAAGCTGGTAATCTAGGACCTACGTGTGAACAACTTTATATGAATATTTTTTGTACTTGGTTTACTTGGGTTGGTATGATACATTATATTTAAGTTCCTTGAACACTGTGGATCCCCCTAATGTGTATGAATGACTGAGGCTTTGTAAATTAAGGGACGTTTGTGTGAATAAAGTTATTTGATGGGGTCAAAGAAGCCATATGTGATTTGAAAATGAGCATTTCATGGTTTCGTTGTCACCTGTTTGGGAGGGTGGTGAAGCCAGCATATCACAGCACCACTGTCCTGTTTGATGGTGACATAAGGAAAGGATGCTCACCACTCAGTATTCCCATGCTTGACAAAACTGCCAGTGGCCCTCCGTGGCTCTTCCCGTTCCACACCTGGAAAACACACCTAGGAGGGCAGGAGCCTGTCTGAAGTCCTGCCTCCTCTCCTTGGGGGAGGGGCCCTGAATGGGGACCTAGACCTAAGAGAACCTCAGTGGCCTCCAGAAGGCTCTACAGCCCTCTCGGCCCCAGCCCTGCAGGTCTGTGCAAGTCCTAGCCCTGAAGAATTTTTAAAGTAGAAAAAAGGTCACCGCTGCTGGGCTGGGGATAGTGTTCTAGAAAAGCATGGGCTCTATCGAGGGCCAAACTGACAGGGTGAGCAAACCAGGCCACAGTGGTTGGGTTAGGGATGGGGGAAGGAGCACATGGCCCATCTCCTTTAGCCTGGTCCAACAAAAGCCACATTCCATGAGGAATGGAGTCTGGAATTGGCTCAAAACCTTCTGATACCTCCCCCCTGCTACCTGGGCGGTGGGATGTGTGCCCCCTCTGCTGATGAGAAAGCCCAGAGAAATCAGGCCACTGGATGAGTGGGGGGGACCGGGAAGAACAGGGATTTGTGCCACTTCCAGTTGGGACTGGTAACAGCCGTGCTGAACCTATTTGCTGGGGTATCGAGGAGGCGGTGGTGGCTACCTTTGGAGCAGTAGAAGACTAACCAAACGCTGGGTGCAGCAGGCAGGCCCTCAGCACATGCACCTAGTTTCTAGTTTCCCAAAGAAGCAAGGTTGGGGACTCCTGAGACCTGGAGAATGCTAGGCCTGACATTCTGGCATCATGCAGCCTTGGTGAAGCTTACCTGTCGTAAGGGTTGATGGTTAATGTGGAGCCCACCATTCAGGGCCTTTCTGAAGACCTGTAGACCGTGGAAAAATAAAACCACCAGAGGCCGAGTCAGAACTATGGGATGTGAGCTGAAGGGAAAGATGGGACAGGCTTGCCACCTGACCTGGAAGTCCACGGACCACACTCCAGGACCAGGGTTTGGGCTCCAGTGGCTGCTGGGGATGAAGCTTCCTGAAAAGGATTCTCTGTCCATATCATGGACAGTAACCTGGGCGTTGAAGAGGACAACCCACACGTTTTGGGTTTTTATTGATAGGTTTATTGAGCTAATTCACCCTCTCAAAAGTGTACAGTTCTGTGGGATTTAGTATACTGAGGGAGTTGTGTCACCATCACCACTAATTCCAGAACATTCTTTATCTCCTCAAAAAGAACCCAGTACCCATGAGCACTCACTTCCCAGGTGTCACACGGGCAGCCCCTGGCAAGCTTGCATGGATCTACTTTGTCTTTGTCTTTGGATTTGCCTGGGCATTGCATATAAATGGGATTACACAACATGCATCCTGATTATCAATATTTCATTAATGGTATTCCATGGTGTGGATATACCACAGTTTATCAATTCATCAATTAATGGGTGTTTGGATTGTTTCCACTCTGGCTAAAGAATATATTTTTGGCCAAACTTTTTCAAAAAGGCTGCACACTTATAAATTCCACCAGTAGTGTATTTTTTGCTGTACCCTCTTCCACATTTTTTATTGGTGCATCCCATCTTTCTTATGATAGGTGATCTACCAGATGTAAATGGTCGTAGGTCGTAGATGTCCATCTATCCTCTGTCCTATTCATGGTGAATAAGAGACATGCTTTAACTTGAGTCAGTCATTTAATGGTTCAGCCTGGCCCCCTGCTTAGTGGAGATAAAGTAACGCAGACTGGCTCTGCTGTCTGAGGCACGCCGTCTTTCTGGCTTCGTTTTCTCTTCCACAAAGCAGTGAGTATCCACTTTGAATGATGGTTGGCAGGATTGAGGGTGTTTGTGGAAGATGCATGGTGGGCACCCCTTCAGTGTCCCAAGCCCTGTGGATTAGGGCAGAGTTCAGAAGTGAAGAGGTGGGGAGGAGCTCAGAGTGTGTTGTTTGGGCAGGGGTGACATGGAACCTAACATAACCCTAGGAGGATCTGCCGAGGGCCATGATCTACAAGGCTGAGAGGTGTCACTGTGACCCTGGAAGGAAGGATCTAGAATATCAAACTAGGCCAGTTTTCATGTCAGTGGAAGGAGTTTGACCTCTGCGTCCTCACTAATCACCCCCGCCCCACTCCCAGGGATCCTGGCTTCAGACCCTGGATTAGTGGTTCGAGAAATACCCGCCCCCAGCCACCTGCTGGCTGCCAGCAAGGAGCTCCTAGTCTAGAGGAGGGACTCAGAAGAAAGAGGCATCATCGTGACAGGCCTGGTCTGAGGGAGAGGGAGGCTCCAAGGGCCTGGGCAACCCTGGAGGCAGAGGGGAGACTTCCTGGAGGAAGCAAGGTCCGAGGGGCCACACTCAGGCCACCCTGCTGCGGCCCTGAGCCCTGCTCCTCCAGGGCCTGCTGTAGCACCCAGCTGTCACGGCCCAGTGTTCTAAGGCCCAGTGGGCACATTCCCTCAGCCTTTCCTGCCTTTCCAGCGTCTTGAGGGCAGCTTCTGAGTCTTCCAGAAGGTCTTTACCTCATGACACCCCAGCTCAAGGATCCAACCGAGGTCCCATGGCACCGAGACCCCCTCAATTCAGTGTCCACACAGATGTCCTTTGAAATCAGTAAAACGTTGGTGCCAAGGCTCCAGAACACTAGGGACTTCCATTGCCCCCAAGGCACCTCCCAGCCCCTCGCCTGGCCTGTGGTCCTTCCCCACCCTGCTTACTCACCAGACCCACTTGTCCCCGCTCCCCTCAGGCTCTGCCCCCAGCCAACCTGGCTTTCTTGCTGTCTCTCAGCACAGGGGACTTTTCCAGCCTGGGGCCCTCGCATTGGCTGCTCCCTGCATTGGTCCTTCATTGCTTCCTTGCTCATCACCCCCTTAAAGGAATACGCCCTACCATCTCTACTTCTTTAGCATGCTCTATTTTTCTTTATAGCACTTAATCACTAGCAGGAAAGTTTTATATATGTACATATGTATAATGCATATGCAGATGTATACACATATAAATAAAATCTCTAGATAGTTCTTTAAGCAGAGCCTGACATGGCACACAGGAGACATTGTGGCACATTTGTTAAGTAGATGGACAAGAACACGTTCTATCAGAGCATGCTATTTCACTGCAGTGGAACGGGTTTTGGGGGGCCTGCAGGGTAGGGGGCAGCGCCTGGGTAGGAACCTGGAGCTCCTGAACCCTGGCCCAGCCACTGGTGGGCCTGCAACTTCTCTCCATTCCTGAGACTTAGTCATAGGCTACTTCATTCCTGCCAATCCCTGAGAAGTAGGAACGAAACCAGCTCCTTGAGAAGGAACTCGCCAAGTGTGAGCAATAATATTTCGGGGGCTTGATTTCTTTCATCTGGATCAATGATCAGCCAGGGCAAAAAAGTCAACATGTCAGGCTTTGCAGATCCCGGGGCCGACTGCAGTTCGTCAGCTCTGCCATCATGATGTACAGGTAGGGAATATGTCAGCAGCTGAGTGTGGCTGTGTACCAGTAGAGCTGTAGTCATGGGTACTGAAATGTGGATCTCACATACTTTTCACCAGAGTGTTACAAAGTCGTGTTCTTTTTCAATTATTCAAAACCACATGACCTATGTAAAACCACACGCCTCCAGTGGTCTAGGCTTGCCCCTAGGGAGCCGTGGCAGATAGCATGGTGCGTGGCATAGGGGTCCAGAGGGGTGAAGGTGAGGCCATGTGCGTGATGGCGATGGCAAGATCCAGGCCCTAAGGTTCTGCTCATCTCTAGATGGTTCCTTGGCCTGTGAGGGAGCTACATGTGGGGAAGTGGATGTCACCAACCATCCCACACAGTCATGAATCCAGAAACAACAACGTGGGAGAAGCAACTGGAAGAGGAGTCAGGATGCCGGATCCAGACCCATCCCTCCTGACAGCTGTGCAAGAGGCAGCAGCTTCCCTCCTCCCTGGTCTAATGGGCTTCTGGAATCAAACAGAGGGTTTGGTTTGCCACTTTTGACCTCTTAGTCTTATGACTTTGGGCCTGTCGCTCTCTGAGCCTCAGTTTCTTCACTTACATAATGGCCATGATACCAGCACCTGCCTCAGAGATTTTTCTGAGAATTAATGAGATAGTGCATAGAGAATACAAAACAAAGTACCTGACCAGCAGTTAATTATCCATAAATGGCATCTATTGATAGTATTTTTAAAGAAGAAAAACATTTTATAACATGTTCCTCAAATAGTCAACGGGGAATGCTGTGTGTTTCATTTCCCTCCTGAAGTCCCTGTGCATGCTCTAGACCCTGAGCAGTGCTGTAGTAAGAGCTGCTGGTCAAGCTTTCTCAGATCACTGACGCTTCCACATGGAGCACCTGCTAGCGCTGCCTGATTGACATTGCAGAGAAACGCTTCAGAGCCCACTTGCTGGGCCAGCTTTGCAGCTTTACAACCCTGATTCCCTCTGAAGGCGTGTTGGCTGCCCCATCCTGTTTCACAGGGGCTAAAGTCACTTCCTTCTTGCAAAAGCCTTCAAAAATTACCTCAGCTTGGTCAACTGGTTCCCTGAGGGCAGACCAGAAGATGAGGAATTTAATAACAGGAGATGAGGCCCAGGCAACTTGAATGTGGTAAGAACACTGAACAGTCGCCCCAGCCAGCAGACCAAGGGCATTGCCCAAACCCGGGCATTCCTGGTTCCCATGTTGACTGGGCCCAGCCGCCCTCCAGCTAGTGTTTACCCAGAGCCCAACACCGGCAGGGAGCCTTATGCCAGGAGGCACCTGTAGATCAGCGATTCTGTACACAGACTCTACCATGAGTTTGCCCAGGTTCAAAGCAAGTGGCTCTACTACTTTAGGACTCAGTTTCCTCATTTATAAAATGAAGATAGTAACTTTACCTATGTCTGTGAGGATT